CCCCTGATCCGCCCTTTGACTCCCTGAGACCCCGCCCCACCCAGGCTGCGGCAGAGGCTTTTGCATGTGAATGTACCTAACTGCAGCCGAACCAGGCAGACCCGGAACTTCCAAGAGAAGGCCCAAGGCCCCGCAGCGGCTTGCATTGCTTCACAGCTGAGCCTCTTCGTGGCTCCTGCTGTGTGGCCTCAGGCAGAGGCTGAATTAGCACCTCCTTAGATCCAGGAGCCACTGTACCCAGTGGTCAGAGGGTACCAGACTGCAACTCCTCAGATCCATAAGGGACACACTCAGGGAGCAGTCTCAGTGAGCACCAAAGCCCCACTGAAGCAAGTCTTGCCCCAGAAGGGTGTCTTCAGCACAGAAGTTCTCCCACTTTAGACACAGCTTATTCTCACAGCCAATTGGCCTGGAGGTCAATTCCTCCCAGTGATTCTACAACAACCAAGGCACCAAGAGTGCACCAAGAGTGTCCACCCCAGGTAATTGGGGAGGCTGAGCCTCTGGGCCCTGCAGGACACCTGGCGCGCAGGGCCACTCTATCAACACAGGGAAGCTGCCAAAATGCGGAGACAAAGAAACAGGTCACAAATGGCAGAAATGGAGGAAAGCAAACGATTGGATATAGAGTTCAAGGCCACGTTTATAAGGTTTTTCAAGAATTTTATGGAAACCGCCGATAAATTTAATGAATCCCTCAGTAAGTATAGTGAGACCATGGAGGACATGAAAAAGGACCAACTAGAAATTAAGCATACACTGACTGAAATAAAGAATAATTTACAGAGATCCAGCAGCAGACAAGAGGATCCCAAGAATCAAGTCAAAGATTTGAAATACAAAGAAACAAAAAATACCCAACCGAAAAAGAAAAAAGAAAAGAGATTCCAAAAATATGAAGATAGTGTAAGGAACCTCTGGGACAACTTCAAGCGAACCAACATCAGAATTATAGGGGTACCAGAAGGAGAGAGAGGGCAAGATATTGAAAACCTTTTTGAAGAAATAATGACAGAAAACTTCCCCTACCTGGTGAAAGAAATGGACTTACAAGTCCAGGAAGCGCGGAGAACCCCAAACAAAAGGAATCCAAAGAGGACCACACCAAGACACATCATAATTAAAATGCCAAGAGCAAAAGATAAAGAGAGAATCTTAAAAGCAGCAAGAGAAAGACAGTCAGTTACCTACAAGGGAGTACCCATACGACTGTCAGCTGATTTCTCAACAGAAACCATGCAGGCCAGAAGAGAGTGGCAAGAAATATTCAAAGTGATGAATAGCAAGAACCTGCAACCAAGATTACTTTATCCAGCAAAGCTATCATTCAGAATAGAAGGTCAGATAAAGAGCTTCACGGATAAGAAAAAGCTAAAGGAGTTCATCACCACCAAACCAGCATTATATGAAATGCTGAAAGGTATTCTTTAAGAAGAGGAAGAAGAAAAAGGAACTCTTACCATTTGCCACAGCATGGATGGAACTGGAGAGCGGATAAATACCACATGATCTCACTCATTTGTGGAATATAATGAACAACATAAGCTGATGAACAAGGACTGATCCAGAGACGGAGAGGCATTGATTGGACTGTCGGGACTTGGAGGGAAGGTAGGGGAGGGGGGGGGTAAGGGGGAAAGATCAACCAAAGGACTTATATGCAAGCATATAGGCCTAATCAATGGACATGGACAACGGGGGGGAGAGGGCATGAGCGGGGGGGGGGGGGGGGGGGTAAAGGGTAACGTGGGGACAAGGACACATATGTAATATCTTAATCAATAAAAAATATATTAAAAAAAAAAAATTACAGGGAGTCCGGTTCACAGAGCTGGCGTGGGGGGAGAAACATTGCATTTGTTATTTCCAATTCACTCCTAAGAGGGTTCTTGGCAATGTTATTTGGAGTACTAAAATATTGGCAAAAGGTCAGTAGGGGACTCTCCAGTCCCATGCCCCCCTCCCTTTAGACAAAAGCCTTATTTCAGGTATGAATAGTTGTAGGATAATTGCATTTATTTGCATATGCATGTATAATCTAAATGATAAGGCTTATTTGTATCTTATTTTAAATTTAGTAACATGGTTTTGTTTTCATCAAAAAAATATATATATATATATATATATTAAAAAAAAATCCAAGAGCCTGTGTACCCAGTGGTCAGAGTGGGACCATCCAGATTACAACTCCTCAGATCCATAAGGGACACACTCGGGGGGCAGACTCAGTGAGCACTAAAGCCCCACTGAAGCAAGTCTTGCCCCATAAGGGTGTCTCCAGCACAGAGGTTCTCCCACTGTAGACACAGCTGATTCTCACGGCCAATTGGCCTGGAGGTCAATTCCTCCCAGTGATACCTACAACAATCAAGGCTTAACTACAACAAGACTGTGCACAAAGCCCACAAAGGGGTGCACCAAGAGTGTCCACCCCAGGTCATTGGGGAAGCTGAGCCACTGGGCCCTATAGGACACCTAGCACACAAAGCCACTCTACCAACACAGGGGAGCATAAAAAATGCAGAGACAAATAAACAGGTCACAAATGACAGAAATGGAGGAAAGCAAACTACTGGATATAGAGTTCAAAACCACGGTTATAAGGTTTTCCAAGAACTTTCTAGAAACCGCCAATAAACTTAGTGAGACTCTTGAGGATATAAAAAAGGACCAACTAGAAATTAAGCATACACTGACTGAAATAAAGAATAATATACAGAGATCCAACAACAGACAAGAGGATCCCAAGAATCAAGTCAAAGATTTGAAATACGAAGAAGTAAAAAACACCCAACTGGAAAAGCAAAATGAAAAAAGAATCCAAAAATATCAAGATAGTGTGAGGAGCCTCTGGGACAACTTCAAGTGTCCCAACATCCGAATTATAGGGGTGCCAGAAGAAGAGAGAGAGCAAGATATTGAAAACCTATTTGAAGAAATAATGACAGAAAACTTCCCCCACCTGGTGAAAGAAATAGACTTACAAGTCCAGGAAGCGCAGAGAACCCCAAACAAAAGGAATCCAAAGAGGACCACACCAAGACACATCATAATTAAAATGCCAAGGGCAAAAGACAAAGAGAAAATCTTAAAAGCAGCAAGAGAAAAAAAGTCAGTTACCTACAAGGGAATACCCATACGACTGTCAGCTGATTTCTCAACAGAAACTTTGCAGGCCAGAAGGGAGTGGCAAGAAATATTCAAAGTGCTGAATACCAAGAACCTACATCCAAGATTACTTTATCCAGCAAAGCTATCATTCAGAATTGAAGGTCAGATAAAGAGCTTCACTGATAAGAAAAAGCTAAAGGAGTTCATCACCACCAAACCAGTATTATATGAAATGCTGAAAGGTATTCTTTAGGAAGAGGAAGAAGAATAAGGTAAAGATAAAAATTATGAACAACAAATACATATCTATCAACAAGTGAATCTAAAAATCAAGTGAATAAAAAATCTGATGAACAGAGTAAACTGGTGAATATAGTAGAATCAAGGGCATAGAAAGGGAGTGGACTGACAATTCTCGGGGGGGGCGGGGGGAAGAGGTGTGGGGGGTGTGGGAAGAGACTGGACAAAAATCGTACACCTATGGATGAGGACAGTGGGGGGGGGGGTAAGAGCAGAGGGTGAGGTGGGAACTGGGTGGAGGGGAGCTATGAGGGGAAAAAAGAGGAACAACTGTAATAATCTGAACAATAAAGATTTATTAAAAAAAAAAAAAGTAAAAACCAGATAGAGCCAACACAATGAAAGAGAATTATAGGCCAATATCCCTCATGAACATAGATGCCAAAATACTCAACAAAATTCTAGCAAATCAGATCCAGCAATACATCAGAAAGATCATACACCATGACCAAGTAGGATTCATCCCAGGGATGCAAGGATGGTACAATATCTGCAAATCAATAAATGTGATTCATCACATAAACAAATTGAGAGATAAAAACCACATAGGCATATCAATTGATGCAGAAAAAGCTTTCGACAAAATCCAACACCCTTTCTTGATAAAAACTCTCAGCAAGGTAGGAATAGAAGGATCATACCTCAACATAGTAAAAGCCATATATGACAAACCCACAGCCAACATCATAATCAATGGGCAAAAACTAAAACCATTTCCCCTGAGAACAGGAACAAGACAGGGATGCCCCCTCTCACCACTCCTGTTCAACATAGTACTGGAAGTACTAGCCATTGCGATCAGACAAGAAGAAGAAATAAAAGGCATCCAAATTGGAAAAGAAGAAGTAAAACTGTCCTTATTTGCAGATGACATGATACTGTACATAGAAAACCCCAAAGACTCCATCAAAAAATTACTAAAGTTAATAAATGAATTCGGCAATGTAGCAGGATACAAAATTAATGCCAAGAAATCTAAGGCATATCTTTATACCAATAGTGAACTTACAGAAAGGGAGACTAAAAAAGCAATCCCATTTACCATCGCACCAAAAAAATTAAGCTACCTAGGAATAAACTTAAGGAGGTAAAAGATTTATATGCGAAAAACTACAGGACACTGAAAAAAGAGATAGAGAAAGACATAAGCAGATGGTGTTTTTGCCGCCGCTGCCTGTTGCTTAGCAGCTGACTGGTCCGGGGCCCACAGTGTGCATGTGTGGAATGTGCGCCGCACTCTCCGACTCTGGCCCTCCAACGGTCTGAGGGACAGTGAACTGGCCCCCTGTTTAAAAAGTTTGAGGACCCCTGACATAGACTGATGAACGGGGACAGATCCAAAGACAGAGAAACAGCAATCAGACTATTAATCCCCAGAGGGAAAGTAGGGGAGGGTGGGGGTAAGGGGAAGAGATCAACCAAAGGACTTGTATGCATGCATATAAACCAAACCAATGGACATGGACAATAGGGGGATGAGAGCATGAGTGGGTGGGGGAGGATGGGGGTTAATGGGGGGAATGAGGACACATCTGTAATTCCTTAACTAATAAAGAATTTAAAGATTTAAAAAAAAAAAAAAGACTTACAAATTTCTTTCCGGACTAATGAAGGAACTGTATGATTTTCATGTCCTTTCTTTTTAGGTCCATGTCTTTTGCCTTCTAAAAGTCTGGGATTACATCTATTTTCTGAATATACTATTTCTGAACCTATTAATTAAAACGAAAATTCATAAGCATTAAGGGAACTACTTCATTGAAAAAAGATTATCAAAATAGAAGCATTTAATAAATAAAACCTGAATCTTCATTTCTCAAAATGTTCCGCAGCAAAGAAGCACAGCCATCAAGCCCCTGTACGGATTCAGTCTGTAAGGAGGAAGTCATTTGGAAACATTTATATATAATTTTAATGCAGGAGAAGAAAACATTGCATAGTTTAAAAATTTCTTTTAGGAACAATTTAGTATTGGTAGAAAATGTTTTAAAGTAAAAGCATTCATATTTCCTTAGGGCAATTAATACTTTCCCTTTGAATTTTTATCCCCCTTTGTTAGCTTTTACCTGAAGACTAATTAAAAGTGTGCAATGTATCGATTCAGTTTAACCTTACCTGACTTTCTGAGTCAGAATAGATGGGATAGCCAGAATCTGCATTACAACGTGATAGCTTTCTCAAATGGATCCTAGAAAACAAGTTTAATATTTTTACAAATAATACACAAATTTTTTCCCCATAATATAAGTAGTCATTTTCTTTCAAGCAAAGGTTGGATAAGAGAACTTGTCCAACCATGTAAAAAGATGGATTTATACAGCACTTTATGAAGATTGTAAAGCCTGTTAAACACTAAAATGATCAACATGGGTAGATATGGATGGTTCCTACCTAGAGTTTTGTGAAGGTAGAGACCCCACTAGTTATCTAGGGTAGGTTAAATTTAGTCCAGCCCAAAGACCTGAAAAATCTCAAGATTTCCTGAAGTTGTAAGCTTCTTTAAGTACTTACTGCTTCTTTCCATTTGTTAATTTAGCAGGTCCGGTGTGCTTTCCTGAAGATAACACCTATGAAATAATGTATTATATTATAGTAGTTACACAAATATTTTTCTATTATACCCTCAGTATACTGTCTTGACAAAACCTGAAATATCACTCTTTTCCTTTCTATTGTGGTAAAACATAACATAAAATTTACCATTTTTGCCATTTCTAAATGTATAGTTCTGTGGCATTAAGTACATTAATACTGTTGTGCAACCATTGCCATCATCCATCTCTAGAACTTTTTCACCTTCCCAAACTGAAATTCTGTACCCATTACACATTAACTTCCCAGCCCTTCCACCCCTCAAGCCCTGGCCAATACTCTGTCTCTATGAATTTGACTACTCTAGAGAGCTCATACAGTATTTGTGTCCTTTTGTGACTGGCTTATTTCACTTAATACATCTTCAAGGTTCATCCATGTTGCAGTATGTATCAAAATTTCCTACCTTTTTAAGGCGGAATAATATTCCATTTTTGAATATACCATGATACTAGTTTTTCATAAATGTGATATATTCTAAAAACTTATAATTACAACTGAACTCACAATTTGTTCTATATAAAATGTCAAGCCAGCAACATATGTATTTGTTCCTTAAGTCTATGTGAGTTGAAGTGAAGAAATATGATTGTAACCAACCAGAGTAAGTTGGACTATAGTCAATCCCTGAACATGTTCTACATTTCCCAAATTCTTCAAAACATATACAGGCAGGCCTCGGGTTACGTCGGACTCGACTTATGTCATTTCGTGGTTATGTCGCCTTCTCCCATTTACAGTATGTATAAAAAGAAGTTCTGTCATTTCGACATATGTACATATGTGCTTTATGTTTTTTATTATCTATTTACCACAAGGTCAGGAATTATTATCTTTTAAATATTTTTACTGTTTCACTTCATTACTGCTGTGTATGTGCTCCATGTGAGTGACGTAGATGCTTATGTAGGTGGATTCCAACTTACAGCGAAAATTGAGTTATGTCAAGTCGTAGGAACGGATCTCTGACATAACCCGAGGACTGCCTGTAATTTAAGTATAGGGCAGAGTCCATAACTCTATTTATCCACATCCTATATAATAAAAGCCTAATATGCAAATTGTAGCCTCAACCAGGAGTTCGACCACTTCGACCAGGGGGCGGGGCCAGTCCGCCAACGGCCCACTGCCCCTCCCCCTGGCCAGCCCGGCCTCGGTCAACCCCTTACACCCCCTTAGGGCAGGCCGGCCAGACCCCACCCATGCACTAATTTGGCACCAGGCCTCTAATTCTTTATAATGCCTGACAAGGCCAGCACACAAAAACTACCATTCCTCTTTATCCACATCTCATTCTCTCAATCTTTCTTTTTAAAGTCATATAGCAATACTGTTTTTATTAATTTTTTTAATTAAAATGTAAGTGGGCTACCTTTTGTGTGTAAGAAAAAATATGCACTTGTTTTTACATGCATCCAATATCTTGCGAGTTACACATGAAACAGTTCATTGTAGTTGCCTCTGGAGAGGGAAACTAAGAATCTGGGGGACAGAGCAGGAAGGGAGACTGCATGGATCTCCGTTCATAGCTTGACAACTTTATACCAAATAAATATATTATCTTCATTAAAATGTAATTTTAAAAAGACATGGTTAAACCCCTACTTACTCCCTCATATCACCACTCAGGAGTAGTCACTGTTGGCAGTTACATTTTTTATTTTTCTTGACATGTTTACATATTTCATCCCAAGATAGCACTGAGGAGTAACTAAGCTTTCTGGATTTATATAATGTTCTTTTATTTATTTGAATATGTACTCCTTCCTTCTAAGAATGCTATTGAAAACACACTGAAAAAGTTGGATTGATAGAGTTATATTTCTCCTTGAGATAAGCTGAATACAATGGAGTCACAAAGCCAGCGGTGAGAACCAATGGTCTCTGCAGATCCTTGGGGTTTTTCTCTTAAGTGAGCCAGAACCATAATAAAAATCCAAAGCATGAATCTGCTAAGTCCAAAACAACTACCATAATTATTATCTTTCAAAATCAAAAGTACTGAGATAAATGCATGGCATAATTATAAGATCATACATAGTGTTTCTCCAAAAAATATACATGAGGTTATATTACAATCAAGCAAAGAAAATTACCTAGAATTAAGACACTTTACAACAGTAATTATCATATTGACACATTCCCGTCAATTTTTTTTTGTAATTTCTAACTGAAATAGTACAAAAAGCTGTATAATTCAACCATATTCCCCAATTGTTAACATTTTATTACATCTGTCATGTTCTCTCAGAATATATATATATATATATATATAATGTTCTCTCAGAATATATATATATATAATTATCTGAAGTAACTTCAGAGTAAGTTTCAGACATCATACCCCTTTATAGTTAAATATTTAATCTTAAAGATTTCCAAAGAACAAAGTCACTCTCATATAACTAAAATATAATTATCAAAATCAGGAAAGTAACAGTGACACCATATTATAATCTAATCTACAGACTATTCACATTTAATCACCCCAATACTGCCCTTTATAAAAATCTGGTCCATGTCCAATTCAGGATCATATGTTGCATTAAGTTGTCATATGTCTTTAGCCTCCTTTAGTCTGAAATAGCTTCTTAAATTGTCATTGTCTTTTACAGCCCTGACATATTTAAAGAATACAAACCAGCTATTTTGGTAGTGTCCCTCTGGACATTAAGACATTTCTGATGTTTCCTTATTATTAGACTCAGGTTGTGCATTTTTGGCAGTAATACCACAAAAAGGATGCCATGTCCTTCTCTATACAACCTGAGTAGGCACATGATGTCAGTCTGTCCCATTACTGCTGATATAAACTTGGAGTACTGAAGATGGTGCTTGCTAAGTTTTTCATTGTAAGATTACTTTAAAAAAAATATATGTTTTTATTTATTTCAGAGAGGATGGGAAAGGAATAGAAACATCAATGATGAGAGAATCATTGATGGGCTGCATCTTGCATGCCCCACACTGGGGACTGAGCTACTAACACCAAGTCCGCAACACTGGCATGTGCCCTGACTGGGAATCAACTGTAACCTCCTGGTTCTCTAGTTCCACACTCAACCACTGAGCCACAGCAGCTGGACTGTAAGGCCACTTTTTTACCTTTGTAAATATTAAGCATCTTGTGAGGAGATACTTTAGATCATGCAGACATCCTATTCATCAAACTTTTGCTCAGTAGTTTTAGTATCCATTGATGATTCTTACCTTAAATCAACTGCTTGCCAAACAGTGATTTTTCTAACTTACACCATTCCTTTTACATTAATTGGCATTTGACTTTACTGAAGCACTTTTCCTTCTTCATTTATTTGTTATTATAGACTAGTTGATTCCTATTTTATTCAGTGGGTTATGCCCACTATTATTATTTTGATGCTCAAATTGTCCCAGATTCTCTTAGTATGAGTCTCTTCAAACTGGCTCTGGGCTTATTTTTTAATTTTTAATTGTGGTAAGAACATAGCATGAGATCTAACCTCTTAACAAATGTTTAAATGTACAACACAGTATTGTTGATTATAGACATGACTAGAGGCCCTGTGCACACGAAATTCGTGCACGGGTAGGGTCACTAGGCCTGGCCAGAGATCAGGGCCGATCAGGGCCTTCCTTCTGGCTGCCAGCTGGGGCGTCCCATCCCCAGCTGCCAGCCAGGCCTTCTTTATTTCCACACCACCCCCTGGTGGTCAACGGACATCATAGAGAGCATTGAACTTCCAGTCTTATGCAAGGGGACAATTTGCATATCAGGCTTTTATATATATAGATGTTGTATAGCGCATCTCTAGAACTTATTCATCTTGCATAACTGAAACCTTATACTTACTAAAAAGATACTCCCACTTCCTCCTCACTCCAGCCCCTAGCAACTACCATTCTCCTCTACTTCTATGAGTTTGACTATCTTAGATAACTTATATAAGTGGAATGTGATATTTGTCCTTCTGTGATTGGCTTCTTTCACTTTGCATAATATCAAGATTCATCTATGTTGCATATGGCAGAATTTCCTGTTTTTTAAAAGCTGAATAATATTTCTTTATCCATTCATCCATCAATGGACATTTAGGTTGTTACCACACCTTAGCTATTATGAATAATGCTGCAGTGAACATGGGAATGCAAATACCACTTCAAGATTGTTTTTCTTTTGGACACCCAAAGTGGGATTAATTTTCTGAGAAACCTTCAGTTTTTCACAGCAGCAGTACCCTTTACATGTCCACCAACAACATACAAGGGTTCCAATTTCTCCACATCCTCACCAATACTTATTTCCTGTTTGGGTTTCATATATATATAATAGAGATCCTAACTGTGATTTTGATTTGCATTTCCCTGATGATTAGTGATGACCATCTTTTCATATCTGTTGACCATTTGTATGTCTATAATTAATATATATTTTTAAAATATATTTTATTGATTTTTTACAGAGAGGAAGGGAGAGAGATAGAGAGTCAGAAACATCGATGGGAGAGAAACATCGATCAGCCGCCTCCTGCACATCTCCCACTGGGGATGTGCCCGCAGCCCAGGTACATGCCCTTGACCGGAATCGAACCCGGACCCCTCAGTCTGCAGGCCGACGCTCTATCCACTGAGCCAAACTGGTTTCGGCACTATAATTAATATTCACAAGTTCTTTGCCCTTTTTAAAATTAGGTTGTGTTTTTCTTTATATTTTTGAGTTTCAGGAGTCCGTTTATATTGTGGATATTAACCCTTTATCAGATATAGGTCATACAAATATATTTCCCCATTCTTTAAGTTGTGCTTTCACTCTGTTAATTATTCCCTTTGCTCTGCTTATCTTATGATTTCCCTATCTCAGCTCTTGTATTGACCATTTCTCCAATGGAATTGACCATTTCTCCAAGAAGCTGTGGTTCCTTTTAATAGACAATGGTATTTAGAAACCAAGATTTAGGCACTAGATGTGCTTTTTGCTACTGCAGCTTCCAATCTTTTTTTCATAAGATTATTTACTTAGTCATCATGACTTGATAGTTGTAATTTTGAATCTTGTGTTTTTATTTTTAAATCTTTTCCATATTAACATAGTCTTCAAAATTTTTTAATGGATACATAGTATTTCCTTGAGTGCAAATAATATGATATGTCCTTGGTTTGCTTTTTGTTTTTCACAATTTAAAAATGAACCTGAAATAACTCTTTCCATATACTGAAAATAGCCTTTTCATATTCCGGATTAAAAGCTTAATTAGCCCTTGTCAGGTGGCTGAGTTGGTTGGAGCGTCGTCCCCTGCACCAAAAGGTTGCAGGTTAGATTCCTGGTCAGGGCACATACCTAGGTTGAGGGTTTGATCCCTGGTCAGAGTGCCTGTGGAAGCCAACCAATCGATGTTTCTCTCTCTCCCTTCCTCTCTAAAACTGATAAAAAACATATTCTCGGGTGAAGGTTTTTTTAAAAGCTTATTTGATGAAAGGCTATTTGTTGTTCAATGGCCCTTGATACAAATTGTAGAAGCACTCTCCAAACTGAATGCCCCAAATCACAATGCACAAGAGAATATGTTTTACCTCACACTTTCTTCCACTTTTTACTTTGCTATTTGAGAAAAATATAAGTCCTACTTCCTACCAACCAGTGCACAATAAACTTACATTTGTGGAATGATTCAGAGATTTTCATTTCCAATTAATCCACACCCTGTGAGCTGATATTATTTGTAAGAGGTGGAAACCTAAATTTCAGAAAGGTGGCTTATTCAGCCTTACACCTTCTCAGTATAGTGTAATGTTTAAAAGAATGGACTCGGCCCAGCTCTATGGGTCTGAATCCTGTCTCCACTGCTAACCATGGGTGTAACTGCAGGGAAATTATTTATTCCATCCGTCAATTTCCTCATCTATAAAATGGGGATGATAACAGTACCTACCTCCTAAGGCTATTGTGAAGATTAAATGAAAAACTATATATAATACATAAAAGCACTTGCAATAGTACCTATCACATCACTATCTAAATTTAGCTGCTATTGCTATCATTAAGACGGTAGTAAACTAAGTTTTAAAGGGGACTACATTTTGTTACATTTATGCCAAGTCTGAGATAGATGTTTCACCAGATTCTTTGACTTAATCTTCCCAATTCTTTGAGGCAACATTTAATACCTACTTATACCTATTTTATAGAGGAGGCTCAGAAAAGTAAAAAGTGCTTTGCTTACTATCACTACAGTAGTGGCAGAACAGGAATTTAAATCTGTGACTATGATTACAAAACCAGGGTACTGCCTCTTGCTGACTGGGTACATTCTGAGTTAATAGAAGAGGAAGATCTATGAAGGTGAGGCTCGTCTGGAAGTACTCATGAGAAAGTCTTAAAATAAACCCCGGTAAGATTCACATTCATGGGGAAAACAGCATGATAGGTGAGCTAATAAATGATGGAAGACCAAAACAAAAAGGGGGAAGGCTGGATATATTTAAGGAGAAGTAGCTACTCCATGTCAGGTGCTGTCCTGGGCCTTGAAGATGTAGACATGAATTGTGCAGTAAGGAGGCGGGTAGATTAGCGACTTCTCTAGCCTGAAAGGGGGTTTGATTGAGGTTAGAACAGGGCACAAAAGGGGAGCCAAGGGGCACCCAAACAATGGGGATGGGAGAGTGTTGGGCAAGGCTTCCAGAAGTAGCCACTGAGCTGAGGGGCAGGAGGTGGGAAGCGGAGATGCAGAGACAGAAGGGCATCTGGGCTGCACACAGCGCGCCGGCGTGGAAGCGGGAGGCCCCGGGCGCCCGGGGCTCTGCAGAACAGGTGGGCAGCGCTGGGCAATGCAGGGACAGGGCTGGTAAGAAATGCAGCCTCGGGCCGAAGAACTGAGATTTTTATCTTGAAAAGTAAGTGTTCCCGGCTCAGACTGTAAGCAGAGCCGCTAAGTTACAGCGAGGATGTGCATTTGAGAGGAGTAAAGGCTAGAGGCAGTGACACCGACTAGACGCCTTTTTCAACGACTGGTAACATACCAGCAATTGTGACGAAAGATCAACTACGAGCGCAGTTGGTGGAAGAGCCGAGAACCTGGATTTGCTGCAACAAAGTCCTGAGCTTACGTCCCCCGACCCAGCGGCCGAGGCTGAACCCGAACCCGGGCCTCGCCAAAGCCAGCGCTCCGGAGGGCGACGCCTAGAACAGAGTGTGCACCTATGTTCAGAGCGGCTGTTACGATGCTGGGATCAGGCGTCTCCCCCACTCCTCCTTCCCAACATTTGTAATGCGGCGCGCTGACATTCTGGGGGTCACAGTTTTGCACTTCTCCCAGCTCGAGAACCCCCCTCAGTCCCTCTCCCGCCGCACCGTGGACGCCTCAAGGTCCACAGCCCTCACCTGGCCCGGCCGGGATCCGGACCTAACCATCTCCTGCAGCCTCAGAGAAGACCAGACCGAAGGAAGCAACACCTTACGATAAAAGGAATTAACCGCCGCAGACTCCCGACCGCCCTTGGCCCGCCCACCGGGCTTCCGCTTCCGGGAAGGAGCCCGCGGAATACCCCGCCTCATGGTCTCCGGCGCGCCGCCGAGGCCTCGGAGCGGCTGGCAGCCGGCCCACTGGGCTTGCGCAATAGACCTCTCCCGGCTCCGGGCTCTACACTCTTGTGAACGGGGCGGGGCCAGGAAGGGGCGGGACCGGGAGGGAAGGGGCGGGGCCTGGCGAAGAGGGGCGGGGCCGGTGAGGAGGGGTGGGGCGAGGAGTCCAGGCTTTGGGCTAAGCACCACTGGTTCCGCAATGACCTGCAAGACCTGAGTTCATGGTCCTGCGGTGAGGGCTTCTGGTGGAGGATAGCCACCCTGCATCAGCTGGGGGAAGTGACGACAGGACTCAGCAGGACATCTTTTAGATGCCATTGTAAATATAACTGCTTTCTAAATTTCCTTTTCAGATTGTTGTTAGCTGTGTGTTAAATTTGTATCCTGCTACTTTGTTGAATTCCTGTATCAGTTCAACAGTTTTTTTGTTGTTGAAATCGCTAGTTTTCTAGAAACATAAATGATAAGAGAATCATTCATCGGCTGCCTCCTGCACACCCCTTACTGGGGATGGAGCCCACAACCTAGGCATGTGTCCCAACCATAATTTAACTGTGACCTCCTGGTTCCTAAGTTGATGTTTGTTGGAGTAAGTTCTTCCTTGATCCTGCTTACAGCGCCAGTTATGGGAGTACTTACTCCTTCATCCTGCTCAACTCTGCCAACTATGGGGTGCACAGTCTTCCTCTGCTAAGGAACTGTACGTTCATGGACGCCGGGTATTAGACGGAGAAGGTATGAGCAGTCATAGGTGTATAAGAGAGTCTTTATTGTAGCTTAAGTAGCCATAGCTACGAAGGAGCCATTAGACAAAGCAGTTCTTCAAAGTAGCTTCACACAGTAGCCGTTCAAAGCAGCCCTTGTTAATACAGTAGCAAACACAGGAGCTATACCAAGCAGGTGTGCCCTATATAAAAGCAGCTTCTCACCAGCTGGTCAGTAACACATCTTTATACCAACTTAGACAAAAGAAGCTCCTTGCAAATTGTGACATCGATATTTGTGCTACAGAAAGTCACGTTTGCGCAGTGCATACAGTACAATCACTGTGTCCTTGCTTTTGCACCTGTATATGACAAATTGGCCTTGAGCATCCGGCATACTTTGGACAGGGACCCCACACTCCAATTGGCCATGAACATCTGGCATACTTTGATTAGGATTTCCACAACGCTCAACCACTGAACCACAAAGGCCAGGCTACTTGATAACTTTTTAATTATCTTTAAAATCTTGGCTAAGGGTGTCTTCTTTTTTCTACCATATTGAGACATAGGAAGTCACCATAGTGTCCAGAGGAAATATGTTGGTAGCTGGGAGTGGAGGGTGGGGTGGGGTGAGGGAAGATAAAGAGGACAGATGTGCTTCTGTATAGGAGGTAAAATGAACAAGACTTGGTGAAGATTTGGGAGGTATTTACATTGGCCTTGGTTTCCAGGTTTTGTATCTGTATGGGTGATGGGAGGGAAGTTTATGAACTCATTTCCCCCAATGTTTTATTATGAAAAATATAAACTAGGAACTCATTTTTGGGCATATTGATTAAGGATGCCTTGAAGTTATCCTAGAGATAGCAAGAAGGGAGTTTTGAGATTGGTGGGGAGGTATGGGATACACATTCCTGAGTCATCTGTGGGAACAGAAGCCAAAGGCTTCTGAGTTTGCTTCCAGCTTGCCTCCTTAAGAAAGCCTTTCCTCCCACTTCTCTATCCCACTCCTGTAAACTAGGTCATGTGCCCCTGTACTGGGATATTATTGTACCACTTATCACTTGTGTGATTAGTTGTTAATGTCTGTCTTCCCAAATAGAATTTAGTCACTATGAAAGCAAGGACCTTATCTTAGCCTAGTATCCCAATAGATAGCATAATACCTTGTATATAGTAGAACCTTTTAAATTATTGAATAAATAAATGAACCAACCAGTGTTTGGACTGCTTTGGTACATTGGGGCTGACAGCCACTTAAATGCTCTGAGACTCAGATTTATCCAGGACATTTATGTCCTTCTCGCATCATGGTTAATGATTCTGCTTGGTCAAGGCAGTGTTTTATAATTTAGTGCATTAGACCAATAGTTGAACTAAAAACACAGTTAAGATTTATAGCCAGGATACAAGATTCAAAAGTCAGAAGCTGTATACTGGAATATAAATTAAGTGTTGGAAGCATGAGCTCAGATCTGCCTGGAAAGATCTGAGACTGCCCTGTTGCTTTTCCTCAAGTCATTTGGTGTCTTCTGGAATGATTTCTAATCCCATGGTTCTTAAATCTTTGGAGATCATATGCAATTTTGAGAATTTGCTAAAAAGCTTTTTTTCCCTCAGAAAAATGTTAATGTGCAATATATATATATATATTAGAGGCCTGGTGCACGACATTCATACACTGAGGGGAGTCCCTCAGCCTGACCTGCACCCTCCCACAGTCTGGGACCCCAAGGGGTCCTTAGCACTGCTGCAGAGGTGGGAGAGGCTCCCACCACCGGCACTGCACTCACCAGCTGTGAGCCTGGCTTCTGGCTGAGTGGTTCTCCCCCGTGGGAGCGCACTAACCACCAGGGGGTAGCTCCTGCATTGAGTATCTGCCCCCTGGTGGTCAGTGTGCATCATAGCAACCGGTCAGTCCACCGTTTGGTCTATGCACATATTAGGGTTTTATTATATAGGATATATAATTTATCAGAAACATTCCAGAACCTCTCCAAGTATTTCAGGTTAAGAATTCTATTTTTACCTAATTCAGAGCCAGCTTTCCACACTTGAGTGTCCAGCTCCTTCTGTTGCAGGGCCCTGATGATCTTGGCAGTTGTTGGTTAACTAGGAATAGTGAGGTGCCTGACTGAACAGCATCAAGGAAAGAAAAACAAGGAACACAGAGAAAATGGAATTGGGCCACAATCTTAGCATTTCCCACTGAAACTTGAAAAGAATCTGCAGTGTTCACTTTAGTCAAAATAGCTTAATTTAGGAAAGAAAGAGCCCACTTCTTTTTCTTTATAAAATCCTGATTTTATTGCTTCCTGAATGTTTTTCTCCTTAAAGGAGAAATACAAACCATATGTTACAGGGGCCTCAGTTTGACAGCTTAATTTAGGTCATGCTGGGATTCAGATTTTTCTGGTCATGCCAGGAAGGCTAGTGGGACGGGTCTGACAAGGGCCTGTTGGCAGCGAGGACTAAGAGAGCCCCTTTGGAATGATCTCGTTCCAAGGAAGAAAGGCTTGGTTTGAGGCAATGTGCCAGGTTTGAGGGTCAAGTGTGCTTTTAATACAGTACAGTGTCAGTCAGTTATTGCCCTGACCCAAGTTGAGAAATGGTAATGATTAGTACGCTAAAAGTTTGTTTCATTAAAATCTCTGTAAGGCATTGCAGCAGATGTTAGTGGTGCCCCAATCCATATGCTTATTGGGAACACCTATGATTTCCTACCAGAGCACTATTTTTCTGGAGCAAAGGAAGCAAGCTCAGGCCAGGAGCTGGGCAAGCTGGAAATGCCAGAAAGTAATATCCCTGGAGGCAGCCCTCAGTCAATGACAAATGGAAATTTGGTGAGGAAGCAGCCCTTAGCATATGGTGGGGGGCTCCCTCATCCCTCAGGTTGGGATAATTCTGAGGTGTGTTCTCCACTGTCTCCACGAGTCCTCCAGAAGGCTTGGGCTCTAGGGATGGTTGGCTTGATAGCACACCCTCTATTAGCTTCTTCCCATCATTTACTTTTCTTACTCCCTTTCCACTGTTCCTGGGATTGCCTCCCAAATGCTAAACTGCTTTCACTTAAATATTTGTTTCAGAGACTGTTTCTGGGGTGTGGAAACTCCATATTAAGATAGGCATTGAGCATACAAGGCAGCACAAGTTTAAAGTAAAGCAAAACTGAATTCAAATTCCTTCTCATCAGTGATAATGAACAACTTAACTTCTTTAAGATGGTTTCATCTATAAAATGGGGATAATGAATGACCTTATCAGGTCAGGTTATAAAAAAATATTTGAGAATACATGTGAAGTATTGTGCACTATGGCTTGTACATAGTAAGTACTTTAATAAACATTGACTATTGTCAATAATCTATATATATAAAAAGCCAGCGACTGAAACGCCATAAAGACCAGAATGACTGGTCACTATGATGCCCACCATAGCCAGCGAACCGGCCAAATTGGAGGTGGGGCCAGCCGGCCAACCTCCCATAGCCCTTCCCCCCCGCCACCCCTTCCCCCCCGGCCACCCCCGCCCTGATGGGCCCACCCCACCCCTATTGGCCTGAAGCCCCTCCCCCTGGCTGGCCCCGGCCCTGATCACCCCCCTACCCCAAAGGGGGCGGGGCCGGCCAACCTTCTGCAGCTCCTCCCCCTGCCCAGCCCCACCCCAGATTGGCCTCCCCACCCCATCAGGGGCAGGGCCAGTGGCCAACCACCCATGGCCCCTCTCCCAGGCTGCTGGCCCCCTGATCAGACCCCCCTACCCTATTTGGGGATGGGGCCCGCCGGCCAATCACCCACGGCCCCTCCCCCCAGCTGGCCTGGCCCTGATCGGCCCGATCAGGGGAGGGCCAGCCAACCAATCTCCCACCTTCTCCTCCTCCCAACAGCCCCCACCCAGATCTGCCTCCATTGGGGCTGGCCAGCCAGACTCCACCCATGCACAAATTTGTGCACTGGGTCTGTGGTATATTTATAATATTGTTAATACAGCATAGTGCAGGTTGAGGGCAAGACTGTTTTCCAACCTTGGGATGACTGCTGAAGGAGGTTTGGGAGATGTGCTGTAGAGGCTGGGTGTCTAATGAGCATATGGGGCTTAGCAATATCAATGACTTAGAGCAGTGCTTCCCAACCTTTCTTTGGCCGTGCCCCACCTAAGCATCTCTAAAATCCTGATGCCCCCCCTGTGACATGTAATTCTTATTATTCAAAAAGTGAACTCCTATTCATGTGGAGGAAGCCTAAAAGGCCATTAACTTGGTCTAAACAAGCTTCCAAAGAACATGGCATCCATGAAAGAGAAAAACAAAAGGACAGTTGAAGTTCTGAGGAAGAAATCATTAATTGTTAAAAAATAATAATAATATGAAGTGATATAAAACATAGCAAATAAAGTTTCAAAACATATAATAGAGAACTGGTGTCAGAAATCTGTTGACATTGACTAAGACTGATCTCTGGGCCATTTGCATTACAGTGATTTAAGTTCATGTCTTGTCTTGGTGTTAAACTGTGAGCTCCTTGAGGGCAGAATCCAGATATGATTTATTTTTATGTGCTCAGAAGCCAGCATAGCTCCTGCCTAGGGTTTCCAAGTATAGGGGTGGAGTGGGGGATAAAAATATTGTTTATCAAAATTAACCAGTGTCCTGTATTTTACCTGGCAATCCTATCCCTGGCATATAGCTTACCTCAGTAAATATTGGTGAGTGAGTGAATGAATGAATCATACCAACAAATGGAGAATTAAACTGGTAAAAACATGGATTGACCATGTAAAATATACTCATCTAAATTATGCCTAACAATCTTACAACAGCAAAACTGTCTCTGGTTAACATTCTTTTTTGAAAGCCTGACAGTGTTGGTTTTGATTTGAGATGCATTTTCTATCCATGCTTCCTCAACCCCTGTTACTTAGTATCCATGTGGGAAGAATACTAATCTTCTGTTAATGTGTTTTGTACCAATAATTTTATGTCTTAATTCCACACACTTCAGATTTCATGTTGGCCTAATTGTTTATTAGTGTGTACCAGTAGTACAAGAAAATGGTCATCGGCTGGTGTGTGGGTTTCAGCTATTCTGAAGCACAACCATCTCCAAAATTGTGCTTTTACTCCAGCCGAACCCTTGGGTTTTGAGTAAAGTCAACCACCTTGATTAAACCATCAGGACCAATTCTGTTTGGAAAAAAATATATATCTGAGGTTAGTCCATTTAACAATTCCTCTTAAGAAAGATTACATAAACTCTCCCAATGAATTCTGCTGTGGCTCCCACCCTCATCACCCTCTCTCTCTCTCAACCCTTGACTGTTTTCCCCTCCTCCTCCACTCCTACCCACTGGAGACACCTGAACGGGAGCTGGCATCATCTGGAGGACTTATAAGACACAGATGCCTGGGCCCCGCCTCCGAATTACGGATTGGGGCGGTTCAGGATGTAGCCTGGGAAACTGCATTTCTAACAGGTTCTCAGGTGCTGCTGTGCTGCTGGTCTTGGCAACACTCCATCTCTGTCCTATGCCATTCTTCCCTTTCCCGTGCCCCTTCTCTTTTAGGTCCTTATCTCTTGTTCTTCACAATCTATCTCTGTTCCCAGATCGGTATAGTGCAGTAACCTCAGTATGCCTTGCCCTACTAGGTTTGTTTTCCTCGTATTCTTTCCCCTCCTGTTGGTAAAAGCTTACTTACACTTCCTGTTCAATGTAGTTCAGCATTCGGCTGACGTGTGATGCAGAGATCTCGCCGTCCACTTCAGCAATATATGTGTAGAGAAACTGGAAGGTGCTGAAAGGGATCCGGGCAGGTCCAGAATCATGGTCACATGATAAAACTTCACATGCTATCTGGAGAGTTTTGGAAATGGTCTATAAAGCCATAAGATTAAATAAGGAGAGAGTCAGTATTCCAGAATAGATTCCTCAGATCAGTTTAGATACAAGAAAGAAAAACAAAAATTTTGCTCTTATAAAAAGAAGTGGGAATGATATAATATTCTGGCAAGTTTGAATTTTTTACACTCAAATGCTATTTAATTCAATCAAAAAATCTTGGTGTACTGGGTATCTTTATTTTTTTAGAGAGAGATAGAAACATCAATGATGAGAGAGAATCATTGATTGGCTGTCTCCTGCACGCCCCCCAATGGGGATCAAGCCACCCGGGCATGTACCCTGACTAAGAATCAACCATGACCTCCTGGCTCATAGGTCGACACTCAGCCACTGAGCCATCAGGCGTGGGTATCTTTTTTTATTTTCCTTTTCTTTCTTTGTTGGAGGGATACTCTCAAGGAATTAAAGTTTATAAACTGCTGAATATTTAAAAAATATTATCTTAATTCTTTAAAATATTTATTTTAATCAGAACTTTATTCAAGAATTTGATTTGCAATCTACAAAATTAAAATGATTTATTATTATTATTATTCTCCAAGCTTCTCTCCAAGGGGATGAGGTCATTATCAGAGAGATACTTTGAGCAAATGCCACAGGAAGAGAGGAGAACGGGGTGGAAGAGGAATGCCCCAGGGAGATAAGAGTCCCAGATCAGGAAAAGTGACACTGGACATCACAATAAAACTAGCTCTTCTACTAAAACACGTGGATCCATATAATCAGAACCACCCAGCACTTTATATGACATAACACTAACCTGGTAATTGCTGGGAAAAATTAGTAGATGATGAATGCCAGACATTTTAATGGAAGGGTTGAAACTTAAACATTAAAGGATCATGTTCAGAACTGAGGTTTTACTTTTTAAATTTATTTATTTTTTTAATATATAACTTTTATTGATTTCAGAGAGGGAAGGAGGGAGAGAGATAGAAACATCAATGATGAGAGAGAATCATTGATTGGCAGCCTCCTACATGCCCCCTACTGGGGATCAAGCCCACAACCCCGGGCATGTGCCCTTCACCAGAATCGAACCCAGGACCCTTAAGTCCGCAGGCTAATGCTCTATCCACTGAGCCACACCAACTATGGCTTACTTTGTCTTTAAGGACACCTACCCTTTGAATAAATTTCACAAGCAAGAGAGTTGTGCAATGATGGGATAAAGGAAAGAAATGATTCAAAGAAAGGATTGCTTAGCTCTGAGTTAGCAAAGACAGGTCAGCATGTTTATCTTGGTGGTTTACTAAAACAGATGATGTGTAGAGTCTTCTTACATACTCTCCTACGGATCAGGGAAAAGTTAATCACAAGTAGTGAAACTGGGTGAAAGCAGCAGCAGCTGCTATAACTCTCCAAATGGTTGGCCAGCATTGTTCTTCATTGTTCTGCAGCCTCTGTTTGCTGTTCTACTGCCTTCCTCTCCCTGAGTTATTATGAGTGTCTAGATGGTGTTTCTTTAACTGCGGTATGTGTTACCGAGGGATGTAAGTTTGTCTGTCGGGAGGTATATGAAGATGCTGAATAAACTTGGCCCATCTTCCTAGAGTGACAGTTTTGCCTGATGCCAGGTAATGTAAACATTATTTGCATTAATTAATTATACTTGATTATTAAATTTTTTTACATTTTACAAACATGGCCATTTTATGAAATAAAATTTTCAACATATATTTAAAATATATGTTTTAAAATGATATACTGCATGATGTAAAAGAAATCTTATGTTTCCAGCAAGCCACTTTCATTTCTTCCCTGCCCTTGGGAGTCCTCTTCTAGAAATTGCTGTGAAGCACTGAGTGAGGCCAGGCATCAACACAAAGGCGATTGGGAGGCCAGGCATGCAAGGAAGCTGGGTGAGAGGCTGCCAGTGAGAATGGAGAGCATGCATGTAGGTGAGGTCAGCATGATAATGGTTTTGGGTAGATTTGCAGGCATGTATGCACTGAACTTCATAATTTCCATCCATAGCTCATTCTCTCTGCTTCTTAAGAAAAAAAAGAAAAGAAAAAAAACAAAAAAACAAACAAGCAAACAAACAAAAACCACCCTACTCCCGTGCTGCCTTTGTCCTGGTGTTCTCTTCCTATAGTCTCATCCAAATTGAGGTGTTGTTATGAGGTGAATTGTGTCTACCCAAAGTTCATATGTTAAAGCCCCAACTCATATTTGGAGACAGGGTCTTTAAAGAGATAATTAAGTTAAAATGAAGTTATTAGAGTGGCCCTAATTCCATAGATCTTATGTCCATATAAGAGGAGGAGGGAAGGGAGGAGGGAGGGAGGGAGGGGGAGAGAGAGAGAGAGAGAGAGAGAGAGAGAGAGAGAGAGAGAGAGAGAGAAAGAGAAAATACATGCATGCACACAGGAACAACCACATGCAGAAAGAGGGAGACATTGGCTATTTACAAGCCAAATGAGACTGTTGATCTCAGATTTCCAGCCTCTAGAACTGAGAGAACATAAATTTCTGTGGTCTAAGCCACCAGCCTGTGGTTCTTTGCTATGGCAGCTCCAGCAAACGACTATAGATGTTTTCTACCCCCAAATCTTTTACTGGTCATTCAAAGAACCTTCAAATTCTACTGCCCTCATAAGATTTTAAAAATTTTAATATATGGATGAATAGAGAAAGAGCTCTCTGGACTGGAGCTTTTTGGTAAACTTAAATAAATTTAAGTCAACAGCAATCTGCATTCTGATGCACAGATCGTTTTGGTCAGATGGGGATCCACTTCATAGAGATAGCCTTTCAGCCTCTTATGAGCCTCATTTTCAAATTTAGAGGTGAAAGTCTCAGAAAGTGAATTATTTGCTAACAAAATATGTCATTCCTTCCAGGAGCACAATTGCACAACCTCTTCTTTTATAAAATTGGTCTCAGTGGAATAGGAGGTGTAGGCTATTCTAGGAGAAGGGGGTGCTGAAAGGGAAGAGGAATACAGGTCTTCATGTAGCATTTTCAATCATGTGTGTGTAGACTCAGAGAGCTCACGACTGAAGTTCCTGCTACCTAAAATCACTGCCATTAGACTTTTCTATAAGGAGGAAACTGGATTTTCTAAGTGTCACAGAGATCATGGCTGGCTGGCAAGTTGGCAAAGAAAGGAGGGATTTCTGGGCTTGCCTCTGAGGGTAAATGGATTAACTAGAATGCAAGCCCTCCTCTAGCTGGGGACACCCTGACCACTCCCACACTTATGTTCCTAGCAATAGTCTAACACAGCGGTTCTCAACCTGTGGGTCAAGACCCCTTTGGGGGTCGAATGACCCTTTCACAGGGGCCGCCTAAGACCATCGGAAAACATATATATAATTACATATTGTTTTTGTGATTAATCACTATGCTTTAATTATGTTCAATTTGTAACAATGAAATTGGGGGTCACCACAACCTGAGGAACTGTATTAAAGGGCCGCGGCATTAGGAAGGTTGAGAACCGCTGGTCTAACATGAAACAAATGGGTATAACAGTATTGGTTCCTGGATTCACACAGTGCCCTTTGCTTATGGACTAGACCTTCAGGCTGACCTCTGGATGTCCTTTGACATAGAAATGATGAGGGGGCAAAGTCTGCTACCCTAGGACCTCCCAGAATTGGAGAGTCTCCAGAGTGAGGCCTGAGTGTGTCTCAGAGGAAGCAGGGAAGAGGGAATGGAGATGTAAGGATCTCATGGAACATCTAACCTAACGTCAGCACTTGGCAGGGAGGTAGAAAGATACAATTTACTTTATGCTTTCCCCTCCCCAGTTTGGGAGGCAGCCATATCAAAGTCAACCTAGTGGCTGCACCGTGAGCTGAGCCCAGGGAGGGTCGGAATTTGGCTTTCCAGGGTCACTCTTGGTTACTGTGAGGCATGTGGCCAAGGAGAGGACACAGACATCTCACGAGGTGGAGAGGGGCTGTGAAACAGACCAGCAAAGTCAGAGAGCAGGTGAGGGCAATCCGGAAGAGACTCCAGGAGGCCCTGAGCACCAGCGAGAATGGAGATGAGCCAGCGGGGACTGCTGTGCAGTGAGAGAGGTGGACCAAAGACTTACATTGCAGACAGCGAGCGACCACAAAGATGAGTATTCCAGGCAGATCAGAGGTGCCAGAGGGGACCAAGGGTTGTGGGAAGCCTTTCAGCTGGGTGTTCTAAAGTCCTAGAGTTGCCCCTTTCCTAATATACTCAACTGCTATTTTTTTTTTTTTTTTTTTACAGTCAATTGATTATTTAATACTTTTTCCCCAATTACTGTTGACATCCCATATTATATTAATTCAGGTGTACAGCATAGTGGTTAGACATTTATATAACTTATGGAGTGATGCCCCTGATAAGTCTAGTACCCCTGACACCATTCATAGTTATTACAATGTTATTGACTATGTCCCCTCTGCTGTGCTTTGTTTACATCCCCGGGACTATTTAGTAACTGCCAATTCACTGTCATCTTAAAGGGAGGAGCAGTGAGGAGAAGCCCGAGGGACTGGGCAATTCATCTGAAAGCTGTTGCAGTTATTGCATCAGACGAAAATTCCAGAATTGGATTGATTCTACTTATTTTCTTACTTCACCCTTTGTGGGTGGTGAAAATCAGGCAAGTTGGAATTACCTAAAATAATTCCTCCCACCCCCGAATATCTCTGAATGTGCTATGAATAAATTCGTGGCCCTGTGAGACTTTGATAGAACTGTCAATTTTTGTATGTTCCCACTGTGATTTCCCCCAATCCTCGGGGCTGTTTCCACAGCAGTGTGATGATGCTGAGTGGCAACTCCCCTGCCCAGCTCACCTGCCCCTGCTGCATTTCCTCGGCTCCCTGGAAGAGAGTATTTACTCATTATATAATGTTGCCATAAAGAAAAACCAAGACAAAACACAGATGGCCCCTCCTCTCCTCCTCTCAAAGAAATGGTTAGGAGGAAAGTTGCAAGGGAAATCCTTAGGAAAAGTTGGGCTACAATATTTCTGGTACTTTTCCCCAGAAACAAAAACGTCACATATGCATTTCAAGCATATTGGAGAAGAAAGGGTAAAATCGTGCTTAGATACTGAATGATTCCAAGTACCTTTCATACCATTTGGTTTTGGTGGAGACAACACTTCTCTCATTAACTTTTAAAAAAATATATATTTTACTGATTTTTTTACAGAGAGGAAGGAGGAGGGATAGAGAATTAGAAACATCAATGGGAGAGAAGCATCCATCAGCTGCCTCCTGCACACCCCCTGCTGGTGATGTGCCCGCAACCAAGGTACATGCCCTTGACCGGAATCGAACCTGGGACCCTTGAGTCCACAGGCTGACACTCTATCCACTGAGCCAAACCGGTTTGGGCTCTCTCATTAACTTTTAAACTTGTATGTATTTCAGAGATTTTAAAAAACCATGTTTCTGATTAATCTTCATTTAAGTTAAAACAGTGTTTAACAAGAGTGAGTCACGTATAAGATGATACCTAAAGCTTTTAAATACATACATACATATATATATATATATTTAATTAAATATATATATATATATATATATATATATATATATATATGAACTGGTTGCAGTATCTTCTTCTTTAAAACAGGAAAATGGCTTTTCCAATTGTAAACCAAGTGAAATTTGGAGAAGGCATACATTTGTATGAGCATATTGCACCCATGATGATATCATGACTATAAGTATAGACACAGCCTCATTTTTCCTTTCCTGCTCTCTTATTTCTGATTTTTTATCCAATGATGCTTATCAAATAGTTTTATATAAAGTTGCACCTCTTTTTAAAAGTCTCTCATGTATATCTTCTAGGTGACTGGAACCCAAGTGTAAGCAAACCTGATTCTACAGCTGGGTCTTGGTTATCTCTAGGAATATGAATGGAGGGAGTAAAGTGGTGATGGAAATAAATCCAAGTGCAAGGATTGGAATTCATAAATAATCCAAAAGCCACATTTTAGTCAACCTCTCCCAAGAGACTGGTGACAATTTTCCTCCCTTTTTCCTCCTAACTCCTGCTTCTGGCTGATGAGCCAGCAAGTGACTAGTTCGGACAGGCGAGGGGGTGGACAAGAGCAGGCATGCTCATCACCAGACTGTGTGCACAGATGTACTGCCTATTCAGACCCAAAAAGAGAGGCTTTCCCTTAAGGACAAAAAAAAGCATTAAAGCTAACTTACAACACCAAGAGAGCTGCAAGCAAGGGCTAAAAACTTCAGCCACTCAATCTCCTCCGTGAAGCGGCCCACATTCATCACACTATTAAACAGCTCTGTTGGGAGACTCAGCACCTTCCACATTTGGGCCAGCTCTTCGACATGGACAATCAGTCTGCCACCAACCTGCAGGGTAGGAGACAGACGCAAGACAGAGCATGAGGGACAGGATGAGAGCATGCCCTGAGAAATACCTAGCCAGCAAAGGCTCTGTGTCTTCCCAGCACCCGGTAAAAGATGGGGGTGTCAGGGCATAAAAGGGACTCTGATTGGCAGTTATCCTTGCAAGGGTAGAGAAATATTCAGCCAATGATGAACCTGCTAAGGTAAATTCAATCATTTTAACTTCAAATGTCAGACTTATGAGAAAAATGTACTTTTATATTATATTTTAATTTTTTCTGATGCTCTTATCATCTGCTATTTCATCCCTAGGTTGTCCCTCGAAGGCAGATGGGGCAGCTGAAATGAAACCAAGGGACAGAAGACTGTTTGAGACTCAAATTCGTGGTGAAACTGGAACTAGGTGGAAAGTCTCTTGCTGCTAGACTTCATTCAGTTCTTTGCACCAGACTTCACGTGCACCCTTCCCCTCTCCTAGGAATAACATCGGGGTCGTGTCTAGATGCTTCGTGTTGCTTGGTCCCAGTTCCCCCAGATCTCTGCCATGCCCACTGCACAAGGCACTGGGTGGTTAAGAGGAAAAAGGGAAAATGGCCAGTGTTGGCCAACAATGCGATAAGGGTACAGACGCTCCAGTGAAGTGTCACTACGCCTTCGCAGGCGCATGCTAAGCTAAGTCAGTCCCGAGTCACCCCGAACGGCTCTGTCCTGGATCCTACAGCAGGGTCTAAGGTGCTAACCCATACTGCCTCATCCATTCACCAGACAGCTCCCAGGGTAATGCGGCAGAGAGGAGAGCCAGGGCTATCCTAGAAGTTAGTCTGTGGCCACACCTGGGACACCCGGGAACTACAATATGCCCCTCCCCAACCTGCGATGGTCCTCATCTTAGAATCTTGATCAGTAAAGGAAACGCTATCAATGGGGTGTGGACCTGCACTTTCTGGAGAGAAGGGATTAGCACTGCACGGAGCCCCGGGACATCCCGCCAGCTTCAGGGAAACCTGGGATGACCCCACTGACAACTCAGCTTACTGCCCATTTCAACATCATTCCTGTTTCCCTCGGGGAAGAGTTACTTTCAGTGCACGGTTTAGTGAACTTCAGGATGCTGCTGAGGGACCAGCTGACCTGGCAGGGGGACAGTGGGCTTCTATCCAAACCTGCCCAGCCTCGACATTGTCCCCACGCCTCCGCTGGATGCTGCAGTGTGGCCCTTACCCTCGCATGCAGGATCTTCAACAGCTCAGGTGTAAGCTCTGCCCAGTTAGACGAAGGGACTGGCTCAGACCGCTCTCTCACTGAAGGAATCTCTCCGCGGCACATAGCCCCAAAATAACTACAAGAAAAATGTTTTTTTCATTGACAGCACATATGCAGGAAATTCTTGCTTGTGATGAATTAGATCTGTATTTTGTCTTGGAAATATTTTGTGGAGTTTTGTGCTCTAAAATGCTGCAGATTTGTAAGCCACATAAAACCATGTGCTAAGAGCTTTCCAATGTCTGAACAGAGAGTGTGCTCATAGGTCATGCTCTCCTTTTTCCCTGCAGTGAACTGCAGACTGACTCTTCATGGATAGCTAAAAAGTTTATAGCACACAGTACAGTACGGGAGCAGGCAGGCTATCACAGTGGAGTGTTTTCTTACATAAATGTCAGGGACGATACCAAGGAATGTCCTTTTTCTTGCTATAAAACAGCAGCACAAGAATAAAATGGGATTCTAAACCGTTGTATAGTATAAAACAATGTCTGCCTGTGATGCCTAAGAGAAATTAGTTTTCTGACACGTAGAGGTCTACAGAACACGTAGAATGGAGAACTAAACAGGCCTCGTTTCTAGCAAAGCAACCTCATTTCTGTCTCTTTTTATGAGCGCCACTGGCTTATTTTCCTCCCATTTATAAAAGCGTCGTGGTGGCCCAACCCAAGAGCATGGGTGCATTGGCTCAGCGCCTCTGGAAGGCTCCTCTTAGATTCCGTTGTGTGCCTTCTCCAGGTGTCCACCTGCTCCCACCACCTGCTCAATTCACCCACTCAACCTCACCTCCCTTCCCCAACCCACCAGCTCCACGCGGCAGCTACTAGCTAGCTAGTAGGAGGCCCTGGCACAGTGAAAATAGCCGGAAAATGGCCTGGGAGGTCTGGTTAGCTCCCCGCTCCTGCCTCAAGTCCCAGTTCCCCCGTTTCAAGGAGGCACTTGGTCTAAAAAGCAACTTCAAAGCCGAGAGGCTTTCTGTGTTAAGCTGCTTCAGGCCGGGCCGCCAGCCATGGCTGTGTAAGCTCCTTCCCTTGAGCAGCCCCTGGGGCACCTGCCTGACAAAGGGCACCTGCGTTTGAGGCACGTTTTCAGCCAGGCCAGGTGCTCTCCGGCCCTTATCACTGTTTTACCTAATTTCTCCAGAATGTGATGTGTCCTGTGTGGATAAGTCAGTTCAAAGGAGCACGAAAGAGAATGACACTGTCCCCAATGACAAAATGCAAAAGGTCACTGGTTGGGGCGAGAGTTTTAACAGCAACGGAGGAAGCTGTCTTGTGAAAGGAGTGGACCGCCTTGGACTAGTCCCACGCTATCCACCGCGGGGGCTGATGGCAGCCCTACCCTAGGTGCACTGCTGCCACCTAGTGGTGAGGCCGGGGAGCGAGGCCCTGGCTTACACCTGCTTAGCCGGCCAAGCTCCCACATGCTCCATTCCACCCCCCCCACCCCCCCTCCCCCGCGCAGGGGTTGGGGTGCAGAGTCAGGGTAGAGTGTATGTATGCTGATGTGATGTGATAATCTAACATGTTCATTGCCCCAGAACACTTTGCCTGTTGCCCTAACTCCCTATTGTTCAGTCTGGTTCGCTGAAGGGCATCTTATCTTCAGACCCAGTTTGATGGATTTATGTGTGGAGTTTAAAGCACCAAAGCAATGTAAGAGCTGGACATCACATAGATTACACTAACCCAGTGGTCGGCAAACTCATTAGTCAACAGAGCCAAATATCAACAGTACAACGATTGAAATTTCTTTTGAGAGCCAAATTTTTTAAACTTAAACTATATAGGTAGGTACATTGTTATTAACTTAATTAGGGTACTCCTAAGCTGGCCTTTGCTAAAAACGTCCTCAGTCTGACTGAGGTACGTTCGCTGAGGGCGACCCCTTCCAACTCTCCCGTCCACACTCGTCTTGTATACTTGTTTCATCTATCTCCTTTCGTTCATCCTCTCTATGTCCAAACCATCTCAACATACCTTTCTCAATCCTCGACACTACATCTTCTTTCACTCCACAACGTTCCCTAAAATTAACTTAATAAACTTAAAGTTTTAAGTCAACTTCGCACTGTATGTGGGCGCCCGCACGTGGTATTTTGTGGAAGAGCCACACTCAAGGGGCCAAGGAGCCGCACGTGGCTCACAAGCCGCGGTTTGCCGACCACTGCGCTAACCAGTACCAACTCCCAGGCTGCAGCCATGACAACCGCCTCACAGTTTTCCAAGACCCTCCCTCCTCCACGCCCCCACCCCCCTAGCTCCACCTCCAATGGGAATGGGTGGCGGAAGGTGAGAAAGGAGCACCTACTCCGCAGCCCACTGGATGAGATCTGGTGGCTGGGTCCGGATCGCAGCTTTGGTAAATTGCTTCAGCAATTCCGGCAGCTCCGGGGGAATGCATATTTGCTTATCCGTCTGAGGCATTGATTGGTTGACCTATTGGCAGACAAAAATAAATAAATAAAATGGTCATCTCTGAATCACAAAATGACAGGAATCCTGGACAGGAGGGCACCCAGCCTGTTGGACATGTTTAATACTGGGGAGTTCACCACCCACAAGACATACTAGTACATTCTATAGTTACACAACTCCGAGACGAGAACGTGGTTGACTAACCCTACTATTTGTTGTTGTAAATAATTCTGCCCTTTAACATAAAAACACACAGAATACTTACTCATTTAAAAAGTAAAGATCAACAAGGAGTAAACAAAATAATGACACCCCAAAATATTGGATATCTCCTTCCAGAATTTATTCAATGTAAATAGTATATATTTATATAAATAAAAATGGTGTCATGCAAAACAACTTATTTACTCCACAGCATTTCATGAACATCTTTCATATCATGCAACTCTTATTGGCCAAGTAAGAGTGTAGCAAAATTTACTGTGTAGATCCTCTATTATTTGACATTAAGTTATTTCCAAATAAAAATAATCATTAAGCAGGCATTTGATGAACATCTGTCTTTACATCTGTATGTACTTATCTATCCTAATTGTAAAAAAAGAAAAGAAAAAGAAAAACATGTACATTTCACTCAAAAAGTTCCAAGACAAATTGAAACAAAATATGAAAAATCCATACATGGTATAAAGCTCTATGCACAAACAACAGTTTCAACGATTTTGTTTGCTTTTTAGTAGAGAAAGAGTCTAGGGATTCTGAAAAGCCCCTCCTCAAAAAACCCCTAGATGTTAGACACATCCCAGCAAACTGTACCTTTCAAATTACCTTGTTATGTTGCAGGAAAGCAGGAGAAATTAAGTGCCAAGTAAAGTGAATAAAGCAGAAATCAGAATGACAAATGACAAAACTAGGGGCAAGTGTAGATGCCAGAAACGTGAAACTTTCAGACAAATGGCCAAGTAAGTTGGAAATAGACCAGGTCTTGGGCCTACGTAATGTAAACAGCTGAACTGAAGGACTCTCTTATCACTGATCCCCTCCCCACCCTGAGACCCTCCAAGGTTCACACACCCTTAGCGTGAAAGGGTGGGATTGAAAGTGTCTGCTTACTGTCAGGGGAAGTGACATAGAAATATGTTTCCATTGTTGCTTTTTGTTGGTGGCAAGATAGTCTTCCATGAGTTTGTAGCCACAAACTAGGTCTAAGTTTTGAATTTATCCCATCTACCAGCCTGGTTGGAAAATCCCAAGACAGAAAACTAAAATGGTCTTAGGTTGGTGGTACTTCATTCTATTTTACTTTATGTTCCTTTTTCTGGAGGCAGCAGAGTATAAAGATATTTTAGACTTTGTAAAATGTCAAGTATGCAAGCATGCAGAGTAAAATTTCAAGGGCAATTACTAAAAATGTAGTATCACCACCAAATTAGTAAAGAAGAGATAGGAATTAAAAACAACAACAAAACAACTTGATCAATAGAAAAGAAGAAAGGAGACAGAAAAGCATAGACAAAAATGGATAAATAACGTGACAGAAAAGAATCCATATACTAGTATATCAGTAATTATGATAAAAAGAAACAGTGATAAATGTCCCAGTTAAAATACAGAAATTATCAGAGTGGATTTTTTTTTTAAAAATCCTCACCTGAAGATATTTTCCTATTGATTTTCAGAGAGTGGAAGAGAGAGGGAAAGACAGAGAGAAATATCGATGTGAGAGAAACACATTGGTTGCTTACTGCATGCACAGGGGACCAGGGGAGGAGCCTGCAACCAAGGTACGTGCCCTTGACCAGAATCTAACCTGGGACCCTTCTGTCCACAGGCTGATGCTCTCTATCCACTGAGCCAAAGGGCTAGGTCTATCAGAGTGGATTTTTAGTAACTTCAACTATAGGCACATATGAAATGACATAAGGATACAGGAAGACTGAAGATAAAAGGACTGAAGACAAAAGGATATATGATTAAATAGGCAAATAATAACCAAAAGAAAGTTGATGTTGGCATGTTAATACCAGACAAAAGAAACTTTAAGGCAAAAGGCATTCTTAGGAATAAAGAGGGCCACTACATAGTGATAGAAGCTTCATTGATTGGAAAGATAGCAGAGATCTCCATGAGCATGCTGCAGACATCACCGTGGCTGACTCTCACGATGCTGGCTGGAAAGGCGATATATTGCTTAGGTTACATACATACGTCATAATATTACAATAAAGAACAACAAGTAATAAACCCAGATTCAGAATGGCTGTTATCCTGTGTCAGGGAAGGAGAGGGATGTCATCAGGAAGATGAACTAGGGGTCCCGACACTATTAGCAATGTTCTATATTTTAAGCTCAATGGTGGCTGCCTAGATGTTCGTTTCATTATTTTTATGCCTCTTTTTACATGATGCATTGGATTTTGTGTTGTGAAATATTTCATAATTTAAAAGGTTACTAATACGAGTTGATTGTCTCTGATAACTTTTCAATCCATTTTATCTGCCAAAGGGCACACCCTTATTTTGTTCATATTGTCTGCATATACTGTGGAACCTCGGTTCTTAAACTTAATTCATTCCTGAAGGCTGTTCAAGAAATAATTTGTTTGAAAACCTTATTTTCTCCAACTAAGAAAGTATATATGCTTTCATCATCATTATTATCATCATTATCATCATCATCACTTCTAATAAAACATAATTGATTTTGTTCATTTTAAAAGTTGTGCCTTGGTTTATATTTGTGTTTATTCTTAACTTTTGATGTAAAATATCCAAAATCTGATTCTTAATGGATTTCATAATTATATTACTTATAGAAATAATGTTTCCTTCTAAAAACAAAAAAATAATGGAAAATACTTTAAGTGGTTTAATAAAGGGGACTTAGGCCTTTAATATCTTATGGAAAACATTTTTCAAAATGTTTTAACTATACTTGAGTATAAATAATATTTATATTTTGTGGAAAAGCTAGCATTTCAATTATTAAATTGAATTATAATATTTCCAAAGTTCCCCCTTATCAAATGCTTACTTTTTCAAAAATTTAATGATTTAAAATAGCTTAAGGAAATGAACCTTATTTCCTTGAATATTGGTTTGTTGTAGTCAAAAAGGCCTATGTTTCCTTAAGTATTTTAATATGGTATTTATTTTCCCACCATAAAGTATAATTTAAATCTGAATATTAATAATTTTTAACTATTGAATTATTGTTGAATACTTTTTAGAGATTCACAAGACATATACAGAAATTAAAAAAATAAAGTTAAGTCATTTATTAGGCAATATAGTGAAGATTATTTCAAATTTGGATTTGTTTGCCTTGATAATTTTTTTGTCTGCCTAAATATTTTATTTTCGTTGAAAAAGTATCACATGAAAAAAAAATGATGCCAGGGAAATTATGCCAGAGCCTTAATAAAAAATATCTATGTTCTACAGAGTCTCTTAAGATAGTAATTCTTAAAATTTTTGGCATCAGCACCCCTTTACATTCCTAAGTTATTGAGGGCCCTAAAACCTTTTGTTAATGTGAATTATATCTATCAATATTTATCATTTTAGAAATTTAAAAATATTTAAAATAAGAGGAAATTCTTTACTTGTTAATATAATTTTATGAAAAATACAATAGTATCCAGAAACAAAGCTCCTTATGAGAACTGAGACATTGTTTTCACAAATCTTTAATGTCTGGCTTAGTAGAAGGCAGATAGATTCTCATATCTGCTTTGCATTCTATCTGATATGATATCACACATCATGTAGCTTTTGGGAAACTCCATTGTACATTCTCAAGAAAAAAGAGAGTGAGAAAGACATATAATATCTTAGCATTATTACAAAAATAGTTTTAACTTAATAGATTCCTACCCTCCCAAAGTCTCAAGGAACCAAGAAGTCCCTGAAACTACACTTTGGAAACCACTGTTTTATGAAACTGTTACAACAGTATATACAACTACAACAATAGTTTACATCAGATTGGGCTTGGCTTCAAGAAGCTAATTAAAAAGTCACATAATTAAGAACTAAAGCCAATTAGAAAACTATGGTCCATTTACACAATGGAATACTACGCTGCTATAAAAAAGAAGGAATTCTTACCATTTGCAGCAGCATGGATAGAACTGGAGAGCATTACGCTAAGTGAAATAAGCCAGGCAGTGAAAGAAAAATACCACATGATATCACTCATTTATGGATAATAAAGAACATTATAACATGATGAACAAAAAGATAGATGCAGAGGCAGAGAAGCATCGAACAGACTGTCAAATTATAGCGCGGAGGCTGGGGAGTGATGGGGGGGTGGGGAGAGAGCAGCTGAAGGACTTATATGCATGCATATAAGCATAACAAATGGACACAAGACACTGGAGAGGTGGGGTAAGGGCATGTGTCGGGGAGTAGGGGAGGCTGGGGGAAGGTCAATGGGGATAAAAAGGAGACATACGTACTACTATTTGTAATACTTTAAACAATGATTAAAAAAAAAACACTAAAGCCAAAATGACTCTTACAGTTATAGAATCAGCATTTACCAACCTCCCTGGGAAATTAGCACGTTTGGGACCAAGTGAAGTAAAGGAAATATAAGTGCCACTCTAGAATGATACTATTAGAAGATGCATTGATGACACTCTCTACACGACTAATCAATCACAGCATTTCCTTGCAGAGAAGTGAACCCGCAGATGTCAGTAACAGTGTGCAGGTTAACAGCACTAGTTAGAATCCTTAGAAAGGGATGCTTAGAAGACTATGTTTTGCCAAAAATAGTTTTGCTAATAATAGCATTTGGCCAAAAATTACCAAAATAAACTGCTCAGGATGAAGTATTTGGAGTACTTTATGTAATTTAAAACAAAATTTTCTGGATTAATACAACGGTTTCTTTGCTGATGGGAAAGCTGTGATGGCAGGAAGGTGGGAATGTTTTTACTTGATATCTGTTCTCCATGTTCTGAACACCTAGGAGGCAACTGAGACATTGTTTAGCTCACATAGAGTTCTCG